CCAAAATGGCGGACTGAAATGGTTGATCAGTATGGATCAAAACGGCGGACCAAATGGACTAAAATGGTCGACTAAAATGGTTGATTGATACAGACCAAAATGGCGGACTGAAATGGCTGATCAGGATGGACCCAAACGGCGGACGAAATGGACTAAAATGGCCGACTAAAATGGTTGATTGAGACGGACCGAAATGACGGACTGAAATAGCTGATCAGTATGGATCAAAATGGCAGACAAAATGGACTAAAATGGCCGACTAAAATGGTTGATTGATACGGACCAAAATGTTGGACTGAAATAGCTGATCAAAATGGTGGACCAAATGGACTAAAATGGCCGACTAAAATGGTTGATTGATACGAACCAAAATGGCGGACTGAAATGGTTGATCAGTATGGATCAAAATGGTGGACCAAATGGACTAAAATGGCCGACTAAAATGGTTGAATGATACAGACCAAAATGGCGGACTGAAATGGCTGATCAGTATGGATCAAAATGGCGGACCAAATGGACTAAAATGGCCGACTAAAATGGTTGATTGATACGGACCAAAATGGCGGACTGAAATGGCTGATCAGTATGGATCAAAATGGTGGACCAAATGGACTAAAATGGCCAACTAAAATGGTTGATTGATATGGACCAAAATGGCGGACTGAAATGGTTGATCAGTATGGATCAAAATGGTGGACCAAATGCACTAAAATGGCCGACTAAAATGATTGATTGATACGGACCAAAATGAGGGACTGAAATGGTTGATCAGTATGGATCAAAATGGCAGATCAAATGGACTAAAATGGCCGACTAAAATGGCTGATTGATACGGACCAAAATGACGGACTGAAATGGTTGATTGGTATGGATCAAAATGGTGGACCAAGTGAAAAACCAAAATGGAGGACTGCAATGGTCAAACAAAAATGACGGGCTGAAACGGTTTGATGAGTATGGACCAAAGTGATGGATCAAAATGGAGGACCGAAACAGTGGACCAAAACGGTACTGAAACGGTGGCCCCCAACAGTGGACTACAACGGTAGCCCAAAACACTGGTGGCCCAAAATGGTGGCCCAAGACGTCGGACGGTCAAGGATGCGTCTTATAGCGGAGGGAGAGGAGGGCCTTGTGAAGGAGGAAGCGGCCCCGCCGTGGTCTTCCTCTCGGCCCCATTTTGTCGGGGTCCGGCCGAGCCCCCCTTCCGTCCACTGCCCCCGTCGTCCACATGACCCCCCATTGTTGACGCTTCGTCTCGCGCCAAACCCAGTGGTGCGGTGCCCCGTCCCCTGTCCCCCCCGCCCCCCGATGTTAGCCCTCGTCTTCCCGCAGTTCGGTGGGGAGGAACTTGTACTGCTGCTGCCGGATCTGGGCCAGCTTCTTCCGCGCCTCTTCCAGCTCCCGCTCCTTCTTCAGCATCTCTTCCTGTGCGGCGATGATCTGGGGAAGACAACACCATTAAGGCACACACAGGGAGGGACAGACGGACGGGACAACGAGCGAGGGGAAGCAGTGAAAAGGGGAGACCTAGTGCAGGGACCCCCAAGTGACAAACAAGAGAGGTTCTGCAGGTTTGTTCTTAAGCTGAGGTGGGTGAATTGAATCATGAATGGATGATTACATAGATAGATAGATAGATAGATAGATAGATAGATAGATAGACAGACAGACAGACAGACAGACAGATAGGCAGATGGATAGGTGGATGGATATTTAGATGGATAGACGGGTGGGTGAATTGAATCATGAACGGATGATAAGATAGATAGATAGATAGATAGCTAGATAGA